TGTATAAGAAATATGGACACAACTTTATCTAACTATCATGTAATGCAGCATCTGTGGTGCTATGTAAAATATATTACTTTTTTTTAAATTGTAGGTCAACAAGGCCAAGAACCTAGGGATCAACATCTCCAACAACCTATCGTGGAACCACCATATCAATAGTGTTTGTAAGAAGGCCAACAGCACCACTGCCTTCTTATGGAGAAACCTCTCATCCTGTAAAAGCAACATCAAGGACGATGTTATAAGACCTTGGTCAGACTCCAGGTAGAATATGCATCCACCGTCTGGGACCCTCACACAAAGAAAAACATTGACAAATTAGAAGTAGTGCAAAGAAGGGCAGCTAGGTTCGTGACTAATAACTACACCACCACCAGTAGTGTCACAAGAATGATCGACAGGCTAGAATGGGAGAGTTTACACCAACGCAGAATCAAAGCAAAGGCTATAATGATGTACTGTGTTGTCCATTCCTTTATTGCCATAGACCTGCCTCCCCAATTCAGCCAAACAGGAGCAGCCACAAGAGGACACCAACACTGGTACAGGATCCCATTCTGCCGCACCAACATCTACAAGGAGTCATTCTTTCCTACTACCATCAGGATATAGAACCAGCTACCTGAAGACACCATCACGACCATGTCCCTGGATTCCTTTAAGACCAGGATCCAGGGATATAAAGCACCTTAAAGGAAGCAGGACATGTTTTTATCAGTTTTTAAATTGTAAAAAGATGCATGGACTCCCCCTCCCGCACACGTTTTTAATCAAAGTGAGAAAATGTCACAGCAGCAGCCCTTCACTCCAAAGAAAGAAGAAAAACAAAAAAACTTGCCAATGGACTTTTGCCAGGTGGACACATGTTCAGCAAGAAATTCTCACAACAAATGAATGATGGATGTCTGTGGAAAAGAGATTTTCTCAGAATATATCATGTCAGAAGCAGGAATAATATATTTATCTGATCAGAGAAAATGTTTTGTAGAAATATGGAAGTCAATGCATGCTATCAAAATCACTGCTGCTTGTTGCATGATTCCATTCTTGATTTTTTTCGCAAAGTTTCAGTCAAAAGTAGTTTTATTTATAATCATATAATGTTTAATTATTTGACCTCCCTTATTAGCTCACCTGAGCTGAAAGCTCAAGTGAGCTTTTCTGATCACATTTTGTCTGTAGTCCATCTGTCTGTCTGTCTGTCTAGCTTTCCGTCTGTCCGTCCGTCTGTAAACTTTTCACATTTTCACCTTCTTCTCCAGAACCACTGGGCCAATTTCAACCAAACTTGCCACAAAGCATCCTTGGGTAAAGGGGGTTCAAGTTTGTTCAAATGAAGGGCCACGCCCTCTTCCAAGGGGAGATAATTAAGAATTGGTGAAAATTTGGTGTCATCGTTTAAAAATCTTCTTCTCAAGAACCATTGAGCCAGAAAAGTTTATACTTATGTGAAACCTTCATTACATAGTGTAGATTCAAATTTGTTGAAATTGTGACCCCCGGGGCTGGGGTGGGGTCACAATGGGGGATCAAAGTTTTACATAGGAATATATAAGGAAAATCTTTAAAAATCTCCTTCTCAAGAACAACAAAGCCACAATTAGACATATTGATATGGAATCATGTTCAAGTAGTGTAGATTCAAATTTGTTCAAATCATGACCCCCAGGGGTAGGGTGGGGCTACAATGGGGGATCAAATTTTTACATAGGAATATATAGGAAAATTCTTTAAAAATCTTTTCAAGAACAACAAAGCCACAATTAGTCATATTGATATGGAATCATCCCTAAATATTGTAGATTCAAGCTTGTTCAAGGCATCCTCCAGTAGTAGGGTGGGGCCATAATGGGGGATCAAAGTTTTACAAAAGAACATATACAGGAAATATCTTTAAAAATCTTCTTCAATCTCAAGAACAACAAAGCCATGATCAGTCATATTGATATGGAAGCATCCTCAGGTAGTGTACATTCAAGTTTGTTCAAATCATGAACCCCCCCCCAGGGAAGGGTTTTAGACATATTTAAAATTCTGTTTTAAAGAACAGCAAAATCATGATTAGTTATGTTAAGATAGAAGCATCCTCAGAAGGTTTATATTCAATTTCATTCTAAACATGGCACCTTGGGGTATGGTATGCCTAGAACAGGCGATCAAAGCTTCATATATGAATATATAGGAGAAATATAGGAGAAGAAATCTGCTGATGAAGAACAGCAGGGCCATATTGACTCAGGTGAGCGTTGTGGCTTATGGGCCTCTTGTTTTAAAATGTATTGGAAGTTTGTGGAAAAAAATCCCAAGTACCTGGTACAGTGCATCCTTTGTAGAATGTGATTACTTTACAAAATCTTTGGTTCAAATTTGAAATCTTACTCCTATAGTGAATTTTTCAAGCATTATCTTTCATCAAAACAAGTTATTGACACTGATAAATAAATGTGTATTACAAATTCTCAAAAAGAAATTTCATCCTTGAATAAGTATTTTGCATCTAAATGTGAAATTAAGTTTTATAGCTACATGAATATCATTGTAACAAAGTTCAAAGGATGTGATGTCAAAGAGCATTTGATTGTCACTCATGATGGCTTTTTTGTTATCTTAAAACTCCAACAAAAATTATGCAATATATGATCACATTGAGGAGTTATATTTATTTGTGCTGATCAAACTATATACTTATACTCATAAATTATGTGTAGGTATTTATTGATTTCAAAACTTGTTCGACAAATGTGAAATATCCAATAATATAATACCAGGGATCTATATATGTAGATAACTACATATACATGTATTGGCATGTATTAGTCCCTCTGATTTTGAATTTTTTATATACTGTATTAAGTATTGAATGTCTAGATTCATATGACATGTTCACTGTACATGTATATTGATTTCATGTTTATCTCATAAATAATGTATTGAAATCTTTTCTACTCTATGAAAATTTTAAGTATGATTTTTCTCATAATTTTTTTGGAAGGTTTATTTATTATTCCTGTTATATTGAAGGTTAAGTTGCTTTGAATTTGTCCTGTGCATGTGAAGAATGTATGTGACAATTTTTTGTAATTGCCACCAGAAAGTTGATGTATTTTATAAAATTGTCACACATAACTTGTTCATCAGAATAAAATGACAGAGGAAATTCGAAATGAATATTTTAAATATCATTGGTGTAAAATACCATAAAAATGAAATGTATAGCTGGTAGAAATGAATGTATATATGTCAATATTACAACAAATTGCTATATTTTTGGGGATTAAAAATCTTACTTATAGATTTTAAAAACCCTCTGTAAATTGAAGATTTCTGGAAGTGTAGAGTTAATTCGGGCTAATTTTGTTCTATAATTTGCCTGATTACCATATCTTTTTTACCTTGTAAATTAATCTTGAACCTTTGAATATTCCTCAGACAAAAAACTAAATATTTGACATTATATGGTCAGTTGTAAAAATTGAGATGAAATTTCATGTGAATTCATGAAAACAGAGAATTTTGAAAAAATATCGAGGAAATTCGGACTAAATGTATTTGTTGAATATAAAGGATTTCATGTTTTCTTTTCACCAGCTCATTCATATTAATTAGTGATCAAAAATAATGAACAACTTTAATTTTATGGTGAAAATATTTTTTTCAGTTATCAAAATTTATTCATGTGCACAAATTTCAAAACTTCCCTGTGTAAATGTACTATTTTTAGGACCTATTTTCAAATGACCTTGACCGAAAATCGAGGCTGATGACACCAAAGTTTTTGGATGTTAAAATAGTGTGAACAATCTGAATATTGGGTTTTCAGAAAATCAAGATTCTACCATTATAAGAAATATGAGAAGAATCCATCCTTAAGATGTTTCATAGTCCCGGAGCCCGTCATCTTCGATAGCAATATCGAAAACATCTTGATCATCGCTTACTTAGATTACTTAGATACTGCATTAATTTTACCCGTAACAAATTAAATGTCATCTGAAATGGTGTTGCATTTAATTAAACTGCAATTTTTTTATATTCCATCCTGCTTTTCTTATATGTGAAGTTTGATAATCATAGAAGATCAACGGTCAAAAGTTGTGAAATTCGCATCGTGAATTAAATATTAACTATCTGGCGAGGAAACACACAAGTACTAACGAATATTATGGGCCTGTAAAAGCACTGGGGCTAGTGTTTTATGCTCACTTTTTATCGTGTTTACACTCGGAATGTATTCCTGTAAAAGGTATTGTCCTCATGTTTACCTTTGTTTTGTTTCAGAGATTACGTTCAAGATCTAATTAACTTATTTTTCATATATCGTAGGATTTAACTTTTACAAATTTCAGAATCTCCATTACTTTTTCTAAGAAAAAATACACTTGTACAAGTATGTCAGGTATCTTCTTTATCTAAATATAATATGTATATGCAAAGTTATGGAACATATCACCTTAAGGATTCTTTACGATATACCAATACTATACATTCCGCGTTATCTTGATTGCTTTTTACAACAAATGCTTTAATATAACCATTACATTATATGGTTAAAATGATTCTTTTTAACTGGAAAATCAATTTATTTTGTTATCTAACTGGAAAATCTATTTATTTTGTTCTTTGGTTGTGAAACATGAGATATTCCTGACGGCCATAGGACTAAATATTTTGTCAATTTTTGCAGCTACAGTCATTTGCGCATTTGCAAGATGCAGGACTCGTGCAGCCTTTTCCACATGCGCAATTACCGCTACAGCTGCATTTCACCTGACATCCGGTGCACTTGCACCGGGTCCACATTAACATCCAGGTACACATTTACATCCACTGGATGGAAAGGTTTCCCCACAGTGGCGTATTCCACTTTCTCGGCAATTGCATGGGTCAGACTTGTTTTTCTTCTTTATTAGTGGATCCCTTCTTAACAGTCTGTTGGATAATTCGGCGCCAAAATGGTTAAAATGATTGAACAATTACCATTATTTTTACAGTATAAATGAAAGTTTATCCTTTATTTCGTGCTTAGTGCATATCAATTTAAGCAAATGAACAATATGCATGGCGAAGGGTTACTGATACCCAGATATTACTTGGAAATGCTCTTTCATCAGTGTTTCCAATGTAAAATACCATAACAACATTGTGGAATTCATGTAAGTTATGAATGTGGCAAATTTTACTTTCCTTTTGGTAAAAATCTGACTCTATGCTCATAAACTGACAGATGAATTTATGACAGAGGTTAACACTTAGCCATACATGTACAACACAAAAAAGATCCGACAATAGACCATTGCAAGAGCAAATCGGTCTCTATGTCCACAAAAGAGTTTCTGCAACACATGGGGAAGTCATCCTTAATGAAACACCACCTCCAAAAACAAAAGCGTAACGAACGAAAAAAAAAAACTTCAAATACATAAAAAAATATTTAACACAAGACTTCTAGTGGGCGTGGTCTTCCTGTTTTGATATCATTCTTTGATTAGACTTATTTGTTCACTGTCACTGTTGACTTTAACTTTAAATCCTTTATCAGCCTCATCCCGAGGGATTATATTCCACTGCTTGAAGTGTTGCTCGAAATTTTGGTTTTTCTCGTTAAATGTCCTTTTCCTTATTTTGACTTCAGATTCTCCATGAAAATTGATCACGTGATTCACAGCGTCATCAAAGCAGTCAGAACCTACACTGCAGTAGCCACAGAAATAGGTGTACTCTTCGCTATGTCTGGAACGAGAACCAAATATCAAGTCAACAATATAGAACATCCTTTGCAGTTAAATATAGTCCACGAATAATATTATAACCAGCAAGTACTTAATTAACGTACATTTCAAGTGTTAAGTTTAAATGAAAATTAAGAAGTTACATCTAAAATAACTATGTAGTAAATGTTTATTTTACATTTATGGTTGGATAATAGTACATTCTACGAATCAAGATATTGTTAACTAGTATCCTTATTTAACGGAAAAGTTCTATTACTTCATTTCGACATTGCACGATAGGATGACAACGTATCATATTGCGATTATTTTCTGACATACCATCCATTATATCTTTTAACAGTCTAGTACTTCATTATTGATTTGAGGCTCATATTATATTGGTATTAAGGTATATATGTACCTTGGTGGTACTTTCCTTGTGGAATAACGTTTTTCACGGGTCTATAAAAGCTAAGGATTGCAATAAGGTTTCATTTGAATTGAACGTCGTAAGTTTGGCGACACTTAGGTGAGGCAAATGACCCTGGTGGACACTTGAGTGGAGCAAATGACCCTGGTGGACACTTACGCCAAATAAAAAAATATGTGTGGTTCCGGTTACCCGACCGTCCCTATTTTATACCCCCGACCCTAAACTTTTTTTGGCAATTTTCAAATTTTTTCTGGAATTTTCCCCAATTTCCATCAATGGCTCCGGTTTAAGTTTTAGTTTCAGCAATGATGGCCCCCTTGCACAACATAGTGCAAGTGTTTATTAGTGTTAAATCCAAAGCAAGCTAGCATGTAGGTGTCCCCTACCAATATTGACTAGTATATTATCACACCACATCTAAATGTCATTTGCAAAGTAGAGATAAGTATTATTTAGAAAAATTAAGAAAATCATTTTGTTAAAAAAATAAATAAATAAAAAAATAAAAAAAAATAAAAAATCCCTACCTACCTACCCTAATTTTTTTGGAGGTGTAACCGGAACCACACATATTTTTTTGTTTGGCCTTAAGTGGAGCAAGTGACCCTGGTGGACACTTAAGTGGAGCAAATGACCCTGGTGGACACTTAGGTGAAGCAAATGACCCTGGTGGACACCAAGTGAGGAAAGAGGCCACAAAAGCTAACAAGTGATTTATCTTTATAAATACGCTAAAACAATAGGACTTTGCTTCATTATTTTATTATATATTTAAAGATTTGTCCAATACATGTAATAGGTAACTGTCTGCATGTATATATGTATATATTAATAAGCAGGATGTACTTAAATGTATTGGGAGAAAGTTTGTACTTTTAAGATATATCATATTGACGCACTAGCAGAGCAAAAACAAACCGTTTCTACTTTACAAATAAAATTCAATATCTGATACGAATACTTTACATTTCTATTTATTACGCCTGATTACAAAACATTTCAGAGTATATTACTGATATTTCTATATAGTTTTGTAATTACATTGATTGGGAATACATTTTGTGATATTTACTTTCATTTTCACTTTTCCTCTAAATTCAGATTCTGTAAATATGCTACACCAATCGCAATTGACCAATCGCTTATTATAATAAAAAAGATAGCACAGCCCCAATGCTATAAAGAGATATTAAAAGAGTGAAATATATTTAAATATACCAGAATAAGCTGCGATGAAGATGAAATAAAAAATTGTAACATTTTTACTTCAATGGACCCCTTCAGGGTTGTTAATCAATAAGAACGAAAAACAGTAGTGAATGTGCGTTGATTATTGGAAGCACGCGTGTAAACATGGAATATCTCCATGTAACCGATACTGACTGCTAATACACTTTGCTTTTATCGTATTATTTTTCTATATCAGATTTGTCAGTTTCCCGTCTCCAATATATTCTACTCAGTTAATTTGAAATGTCCTTTATAATAAACTAGCTTGTGAGCAGCCATTTTACATTTTAGTGTATGTAATTTGTTACTTTAGTTTAAAAGATTTTGGCGTGAATTTGCCTTCTTTTTTCACACTTATAATAAAGTCTGCAATACCCAGTTGGATTGAGCGAGAGAATACAGTATAACTTGTGTAAATGTTACTGTAGAAACTATGTGAATAACAAGAAACAATTACGAAGTGAACAAAAATGTTTATTGGCAAACCTATACAGCAGACAATTGTAATAAACCATCTTGGAGTATACAACAGGTGTACAGTAACACATTACATTAAATAAAGCATACGAGCGTTTATAAGAGACAGACAGACAAAGATAACGAATTCCGCATAAAATTAGCCCGGAATGCCTCTCTAAATACATTAAAAAACTTAAGTGGCTAACAAGCATTGTTTATTTATAAAAGGTACTCACTTTCTGATCACTTTCTGTCTCTCCAACTTCTTCTTATGGGAAGACATACTTCATGGCGCCCTCATGTCGCTTTCTATATTTCCAATCTTACGAAATTAAACACAAATTTTCAAAAAACAAGGGAACCTAAATCTACAGCTTTGAAGCTTGCAGCTGCGTCATGATAAAAAGGAGCGTGCAACTCTCGTCTGCTGTTGTTCATTCACAAGTGCGCATAAGAGCGGATATCCTGCGGCTTGAGACGAAATGTCATACGATCATATAAAGGAAATTCCAAATATCTCAATTAATCTTAGTAATAACGAATTATTTTTTAACTACACCAAAATTATGTTGTTGTGGTTTGATTTTCTTCGAAGTCTGTTACGTCCTGGTTAATTTGGCTGACTGCGCTAGCTATAACTACTATAATTAACAATAAATGTAGTTCGACAATTTAGGATTGTTTTTGAATAGATAGATCTACAGTTTATAATATATTTAGATTCATAGTTCTGCAAAATTGAATTAAGGAAATATTTGAAACACATTTTAGTTCGAATTGTATTTAATTCGTAAAAATTATTTACTTAAGCGATATTCTCTTATTAAAGGGAAGTGGACAGGCTTAGGTTAAAGCCTGTCCGCTTACTAAAGAGAATACTTAAGCGAGGGAATAGTTCTCTTCGGTGAAAGAAAGAAAATAAAGGTATTGACGAAGTAACAACACGGAAAATATCATTGTTATGAGTCTAAAAATAAATGTAAAAAATGTATGCTTATTCAAATTGAAGATGAAGAACATTTCCTTATTCACTATAGCAAATTTACAAAGGAAATAGAAGACCTATTTAACATTTACAAACTTGCCTGATAAACAAAAATTATCCTGGATTCTAAATTCCGAGGAAGATTTTTACAAAAAGCATTACCATAAGTTAAGTCTCAGGCATGTGAACTGTTTTGTGATGAATTATGTAAAAATATGTACTTTCATATGTGTATGATATAAGTATGTATGCATATATTATATGATATAATTATACATGTATAAAGCAGATATTTGTGCTCAGAACTGCTCTGGTTTATTCCTCCTTTTTATGTCTTTTTCCTACCAATCATGCAACTCTTTCTCTCTTGTATGTTTGTATATTGTATTACATTTATATGAAAATATACAGGTGTTAACAATGTACTTTCTTTTTGTCCCTTGAGGGCCCTTAATTGGAAAATAAACAATTGAATTGTGTCCATAATGGGACAATACAAGAGATTATACGAGACTGACATTATAACCTTATTCAAGGAGGGGTAATTTAAGGATTGCTCCCCTTTTTGCTTAAAAGAAAAATCTCCTGAATAAATTACATGTAAACATTTTCATATGAAATTATAAACTGTTTAATTTGTACATGTAGTTACAACAGATGTCATTTGTTTACAAATACATATATGAGTACATGTATTTTAATCTAACATTGCAAACCACAACGAAATACAACTGTATATACCTAACACCCACCCCCCACCCCCCAAAAAAATTAAAATTAGACATTGATAAAAAAAAATGTTGAGATAAAGAGGTAAAGAATTCTGCCAGTTAACATTTTCATGCTGATAAGCTACAACATGAACCTAAATTTCTGTATTTTACACTGTTTTATGCTGACCTGTCAGGTACGACTAAAAGAAAGGAATAAAGGAAGTAGAGACCTGACACTGCAATGTAATCTATTTATAATTAAATAACAGTTGTTTACTTTTTCAAATAAATTCTGCAACATGTTTAAGTCATGTTGCGGAAATTATTTAATAAAAAATAAAATTTGACAGAAAGGAAAGTTGCATATTGAGACCATTATTAACTCGATATTTAATTTGTTTGAAATGCATTTTATAAATTTCTCTCATGGGGTTGTCGAACACTGCCTTAACGTAAAATGTAGAATTTACTTTAATTTTCCAAAGAATTGAACTAAAATACTGGCCTTCTGATCGTCTCTTGTCTCCACGTCCCCCGCACAAAGTAAACTGTTTTCCCGAACTGAAACATGATTCAAAATTCTTAAGATCAAAAGGTTATGAATCCAGTGCTCTCAAATGATGTTTCACAATCCATACAGATTAATTTCCATATCGAACTTCGTAAGCAGGAAAAGTATAAAACCATTCAGGCAATTGTACATGTAGAATTTAACATTTCCATGTGAGAAAAGCACACCAACGTAAATAAATGTGCATTTCTTCCTGTTCGAAATTTTTGAATATGAACTCTTGAAAAATTGAAGAACACAGAAAATTAATTCAATTATCTTCATTTCCACACATACACACATCAGTAAAAATAGAACTTGAAAAATATTTTGAAGGACAGCATGCATGACTATATCCAAATATGGCCCCTCAGTGCTGGGGAAAGATTTACATATAGAATGTATAGAACAGTCTTTAAAAAATCCTTGGAGAATAGCAGATTACATCATCGGCCGGAGTACTGAGTACACAAGATTTAATGAAGTAGAATATTGGCCTTTTCCACAACAAATTTGGTACATTTTATGTATAATATACTATACTTTAGTATTGTTGATTACGGTTGTAAAAAGAAGAGTGTCAAAACAAGCTTGAGGGGCCTTTATTCGCAGATTCATTTTCAGGAAGACAATTGTAAAGTCATGCACGTGAGTGGTATAGCTCTTACAAAACCACTAGAAAAGAAACTTATCTACAAAGAAATTTCCTAAATACATATATGTACTTTCCATAATTAGACCGATCTACCTATTTTAATCATAATTAAAAAGTATTTCAGTTGAATATGCTTGTAAATAACAGTGATAAACCTGAATTTGGACCTCCATGACATTAATACTTTTTTCAAAGAGAAATAAAATTCTAACTGATGAATTAATTCATTGTGTAAACCCTGAGATCCACGCAGAATGTATATACATATGTAAGCGCGGTTAAACCGGATGCTTCAAGATGGCAAAGTAAGATCGCGCATGTCTCAGGGGTTTGCTTCCGTTTTGCACAAAGAAAATTGTGCAAAACAGGAATTTTTCCAAGTAAGATGCCAATCTTCGTTAAACTGTCTTCAGGAAATTTAAAATGAGCACATTATCATATGTAAAAATATTTATTTTGTTAAAGTGTGAAGTTTCATTCCATGTGATCTAAGAGAATTCATGTCATTTAATTTTAAAATCAACATGTTTTGTAACCACGGAGCAAACTCAACAACACTGTAACGTCAAAAACATACTGACATTAGCTTCTCAAAAATACTATCCCTATACATTTCACACAGTCTTGACCAATACCAGCTCATTCATTAAAAACGTTTCTCTATCACTTGAAATCTAATTTGCTAACAAGTGTCCCAGTTGTATTATTTTGTTTGTCAATGTTAATTTTTTTTTCACTGCATAAGTGTGCTTTCACAAGATCATGCAGCATCTCTGAAGCGCCAAACTCTTAGCATGACGTTGCAAGCTTTTCAATGTTTTTTAATAATATTTTTAAAGATAATCCGTTTTCTCAGAGATCACCATCGTCTAGGCAGAGTAGTCTATCATTCAAATACCGCGCTTGTACCATGTACACACACATGCATAGCTCGCTTTTAACATAATTCCTTCTTCCTCCGGCATTTTCAGAGTTTTTTTTAATGGAGTTTTCCAGAGCACAAAACCAAATTGTATGGTTAACTGCTGCTCCGTGACGTTCTACGACGTCATCTTTTTTTGGCTTTTTCAGTGAGGACTACCTATCTTCTGAAACTGATTTCTTTTCAACGAAGCAAAATATTAAGTCATAATTTGAAATTAGATGAGATGAAACAATTCTTAATGTGAACGTGTAGAAGCTATCCGATTTTGTTTCATTTTACAGAAGATATGACCTCAGACTTTATTTAGTATCTTGATTGTAAATTACGAATTTTGACCTGCTCCATGATCCGAGTTTCGCATTTTTTAAGTCTAAATAAGTTTGAAATAAACCATGATACTTTTTAAAAAATTTAATACACATCATTTAAATTTACTGTTGAAATATTTCTTCTAAATTTGGATATAATATGACGTTAAGTAAAAAAGTTATGTCGGTAGTCCACGAACTTTCCGAACAACTCTCGTAGTTACTTAATTGCTGTATCATAGTTAAGGTGAACTTATAGTGAAAGATTATGAAATAAAGTCATATGCAATTGATAAATAGATTTAATATTCATTAATTACATTATTTTAAAAATTCATTTTTTCTTTAATATTTATTTCATTGGGGGGGGGGGGTCATCAATGCATTGGTAAAATACAAGTTAATTCAGAAAGAATGCAGACTATGATTAAACATAATTCACACCTATTTTTTCTATACATGTACCTTATTATCAAATGTGTGCAAGACAGATCGCCCCTCAGACAATTTGCCCTTAGGGCGATTCACCCTATTCGAATAAGAACTTGCCCATCGTTGACTATTATGCTATGGTACACTTCTTCTAAAACAAGTTTGGATAAACAAAACCTCTAGAATACATGTTAAGTGATTTTTGTATATTTTTCTTTAAATTATTTGAGAATTTTCGTCAACTGATATCTTTTTTAAACCCTGGTAATGTCTATGAACATCTGATGGCACTACAATCTTAAATTAAGAATATTTTGAAAAATTATCAGTAGGTAAGGTACATGTACGTTTCTTCTGTCCTTAAACTCTGTACATTGTATTTATTTATTTTTAGTGCATTAAAAATCAGAATCTACTCATATGTACTATGAATAGATATATCTTAATTTGTAAATTAAAAAAAATGTACATATATATCTATGTTAAAAAATAATATTTATGGGACAAGCATTTTAAAAATTCAGAGATGTCTTCCTTGTCGACCAGAACAATTGTTTAAAATTGGACAATATATTTAACTCTGAGCTTGAGCAAAAATTTCAGATAAAGGGTGTATTGTGTGAATTTGATTTTGATGATTTAGGGACTGTATATTTTATTTTCAATTCAATTTCTTTTTTTTCTTTTTTTCTTTTTTCTTACTGTATGCCAAAAATGGTGGTGTCAATAAATTGAATTGAAAAAGGAGGGAGATTTCGGATGTCTTTACAGCTTGAATTAAAATCCTAATTCGATGATTAGGCTTTTTAAAAAAGATAAGACATACTTTCGGCATCAGTATTGTGAATCTAGGCCTGTAGAAAACAAGTTCAATTGAAGGGGGAGGGGGATGAAATAACACAAATTCTTGACAAGCTAAAAAAACAAAACATAAACAAACAAACAAACAAACAAAAAGAAGAAGAAAGAAAACAAAATAAAAGAAAAAGGTCATCTGACGTTTCTTGCGGGCTGTGGCCGTTAATTAGCGCTAGCTGTACAGTTTTTACTGGCAAAAATATATAAAAATGAAGGGGCACAGCTGTAAATTACTGTTTTTTCTATATTTAAGTATAAACTGTTAAGTACCCCCACCCCCGCCCCGGTTCTTAGTGTATGGGTATCCTTAGTATCATATGCTGCCTTCAACAGATGTCTCCTTTCTTCAATAGAAATGTCTTCCCTGTCGAGGAGAAATCTAAAACTCTAATGTAAAGCGTTAAAAAAAATGAATTTTTGAATTAATTAGTAAATTTCCTAATCAATACAAAAACACTAAAAGCTTAATGCTCAAAAAGTCGGTTTATGGCATTTTAAATTTTGGATATTTTATTGGTGAATCTTAAAAATCACCAAAATGATTTCAAAACACAGAATTTTTAATTAATCTAAAATTTTTAAATTTTAAAATTAAAAGATGAGCTTTTGGGAATTTAGAACTTTGAACTAAAATATTAGGATTTGTATTAAAAAAATTTCAAAAGTGTTGCATGAACCATAAGGCAATTGAGGCGTTCCATAGATATTTCTTATTAATTACGTGCTCTTTTGTTGATAGTCTCCATTTCCATGAGCGCACTTATGAATCGATGTATTTGATGTAGAATACGCTTTCGATATTAATATGTGCTGTGTTTCGGCATAATTTGACCAATATAGGCATATTTTCATAAGTAAACAATTTACTAATTTCATGATCATTTATGTTACATTTTGCCGTTTTCTACAAAATATATTATTAAATTCGTTATGTCCTTAAGCATTATATAAATGTCCACACAGACACTCCTCCCCATGTAGGCTCCCGGATCCATCTCTACAATTTTTGTCTCACTTTTATCAAGGGGAAATCCAGGTCAACGTTTTGTAGAAAATCAACAGTCTTAAATCTAACACCTTACTGAAAATGTTGAGAATTCTCAAAACTGTCATAAGTGTTAAAGTAACATATAATATATTATTAAAAAATAATATACATTAATTTCCTTAAAGAAATATTCACTTTACTAATTAATTTACAAAAATATCTGTTTAAGTTCGGAAAAATCTAAATATTGTTATCTCATTAAAAAAAACTAAAAGCCCTATCCTTATTCTCTATCTGGATGAAGATTGATCAAATACAAGAGCCCTATTAGGTTAATACTGATAAATACAATTCTGCAGCTATAAGAAAAGGACAGTTGTGAAATTGTTGTACATTATTTTTTTTAAATAATGTAATCGTCCGTTCCTTTTACATTTATGGCATATTGACAAAAAAAAGATGATAAAAATAGAGTTGTTCATTCAGTTATAAAATTACTCTATAGAACATAGTTTTATGGGAAAGAGAAAGGGGTTAGCATTGATATTGAATTGAAAATGATATTCTTAAACATATTTTGAATAAATGATTCAAAGAAAACCAATTTTTTGAAATACTAATACAATGTACCATGTTCCTTTTAAAGATATGCACCAAGCTTCTCCTTGATAGGACCAACTGTTAATTTTACAAACCCTGATTTACATATCATGTATATCTGTTTGTCGTACATGTACTAATGTATTATGTCCTTTACATGTAATGTGTTTGCTTAGAATCGTCACTGCTTTAAGATTTTTAATGATAATTAAGCAGAAAAAGTTCAATCTTCCAAATCACTGTTCAAGCTATGTAAAAAGAAATTAATATGCTGAAGTAAATTTTATTCATTAATTCTACTCGTCATTTCCATTCAATGTTTATTACCAGCTATTGCTCTGGAAATGAAAATGCTCAGAATAACCTTAAAAACAAAAATACTCAGTTCATGTTGTGTAACAGGCATTATAAAAGGGATGGTAAAGAAAGATTTAAAAAGAAAAAAATCCTATAAACCTATGGACTGCACAGTCACCAGTATATTTCTCCAGGGAAAAAATCGCCATGATAAATGTAGTTTTTAAAGATTAAAAATGTACATGTAAATCAGCAAATTAAAACTTTAAAATGATATTTTTCATTAATTAAGAACTCCGGTGCCTCTAAAGTCTGACCAGGTGGTGAAAATCAATGTAAAGATGATTAAATTAAAAAAGATACGTACTTTAGCTCATGAAAATGAGTAACACTTATCACCTACAGAAAATAAAACAGTTTTATCCATTTTTGCTGGATGCTCATCTATGTATATGAATGACAAAGACAGTATGATTTTGAAATCATGTTTATTTTTTTGTTCAGAGCCACAAAATACAACGATGTTTTGCGTAGTGATGTTGTTAGCTCTTTTCTTACAATTTGTTAATTAGATAGTCCTAATCTCATCTATGATTTCCATTATAAACTAATATAAATATAATTGGACGGATGACGTAGTTGCTGCTTTTTCATAATGTTTATTGCGCTTCTTCCTCTCCTTCTTCCTCCTCGAATTCTCCTTCCTCTTCCGCTGTTGCATCCTGGTACTGCTGGTATTCAGATACTAGATCGTTCATGTTGGACTCCGCTTCAGTAAACTCCATCTCATCCATACCCTCACCAGTGTACCAGTGCAAGAAAGCTTTACGACGGAACATGGCTGAAAAAGAAGAAAAATCTGTCTTATTAACAAATGAAACAACGAACGTATTTTTTTTTTTTTCGTAAACTGGAGCCCAGAATAGAAACCGTATACACCCTTGCAAGAAATTGTACAAATTTTATATCAAAGCTTACCAGTGAACTGTTCAGACACACGCTTGAAGAGCTCCTGAATGGCAGTTGTGTTTCCAACGAATGTCGCTGACATCTTTAGACCACGTGGTGGGATGTCGCAGACGGCGGTCTTGACGTTGTTGGGGATCCATTCTACAAAGTAGCTGCTGTTCTTGTTCTGGACGTTCAACATCTGCTCGTCAACCTCTGGTAATTTGAAAAAAAAAAGAACATTTCAACTACAAATGAGATTCACTTTCTAAGATACTTCTTTGTTTAGTAATGAAAAGTAGAGAATATTTTCGATAAAAAGTATTTTGAATTCAGTCCATTGCTAATTATGAATACCTTTCATTGACATGCGACCACGGAAGAGGGCGCTAACTGTCAGATATCTTCCGTGACGTGGGTCGCAGGCGGCCATCATGTTCTTGGCGTCAAAAATCTGTTGAGTAAGCTCTGGAACTGTCAGAGCTCTGTACTGCTGACTACCACGTGATGTCAATGGAGCAAACCCGGGCATGAAGAAGTGAAGACGAGGGAATGGAACCATGTTGACGGCGATCTTTCTTAAATCAGCGTTCAGTTGACCTATGTATCAAAGATTGAATGTTACGATACTTAATTGTGTGATATTGAAATTGTAGACACTTGAAAAATGCCTCTTTTATGGAGAACATTTAATTGTGAAATAAATAATCATTTTGATTATTTACCAGGGAAACGAAGACATGTTGTGACGCCGGACATGGTAGCGGAGATGAGATGGTTGAGGTCACCGTATGTTGGAGTGGTGAGTTTGAGGGTACGGAAACAGATGTCGTAGAGAGCCTCGTTATCGATGCAATATGTTTCGTCTGTGTTCTCGACCAGTTGGTGAACGGAGAGGGTAGCGTTGTAGGGTTCCACTACGGTGTCGGATACTTTTGGAGATGGGACAACGGAGAATGTGTTCATGATTCTGTCGGGGTACTCTTCACGGATTTTGCTAATGAGAAGTGTTCCCATACCGGCTCCAGTACCACCTCCCAGTGAATGTGTGAGTTGAAATCCCTGAATACAGTCGCAACTTTCCGCTTCCTTTCTGACAACGTCCAAAGCTGAGTCAATCAATTCAGCTCCTTCTGTGTAATGACCCTTAGCCCAGTTGTTCCCGGCACCGCTCTGTCCTGCAATGGAAAGTTTATCATGAAAAAGAATACATTTTAAAATACTGATGCATTTGTATTTTACAATGCACTATAGAAGGCCTGTGGTAGACATTTTTGAAGACTCACCGAACACAAAGTTGTCTGGTCTGAAGATTTGTCCAAATGGGCCTGATCGGACGGAGTCCATAGTTCCTGGCTCAAGATCGATAAGAATGCTACGAGGTACATATTTTCCACCTAGAAAAAAGAATAAATCGAAATGGAAAAAAATGTTAGATGGTCACAGAAATGAAAATATTTGTAACTACTAGTATTAAGTCATTCATGGTTTTCTAAGTAATATTAGGATTGTTGTATATTAGTAGACAGTTATAGGAATATTAAGGTCGTTGTACCTGTTGCTTCGTTATAGTAGACATTGATTCTTTCTAGCTGCAGGTCTGAATCTCCATGGTAGGTTCCTGTGGGGTCAATTCCATGTTCATCTGATATTACTTCCCAGAACTGCAGTAATAAACAACTCTTATTATTGCAAGCTAAAAGAAGGACATTTTGCAATATTTCAAAGTTGTCGTGTTTTTATGCATACTATGTTCGTTTTTTTATTTACTTATTTTTTTAACTTACTGGTAAATTTAATTAATTCTTTATAATTTGTCCCAATAAATGTATTAAAATTAATGAATTTGTAAGCGGCACAGGTATTCATTTTTAGAACATATTTTCCGAAAGCATAAAACCTTTTCAGGTACGAGTGATAAATCCTTCCGTCCATTTTTATGTTAAATATTTCAAACAAATTTTAAATTTAATGAAGATGATCCTTTTTAAGACAAAAATGTCGCTAAGTTTTTGCTGACTTTGAAGGAGGACAAAGATTGAGCTCTCGAATTATTTGTTTGGTGTAAGTGTTAATATTAAACGATAAGCGTAACCAAGGACCACAACTATTGAACAATCTTTTAATCAGAATATTATTGTTTCTTCAGTCTGAGTTCATTCAAATCCTCGCATCCATTATAATAGCTTATCGCTAGTTATCGCTCTTCCATCAAGTAAGCAGGCACAATGGCTGACCAATCGGAGAACAAATCTGTGATCATCACCAAATCGCCAGTGTATTTGTGATTCTTTGAGAGAAAGAAAGATTCTTTGATACGGGATTTTAAATTTTTGGTTCGACGATAAAGAGTGCGAGGTGGTCTAAACAATGAAGAAGTTAAGGGACAAGTCTTTGACAGGTTGCCGCCTATTACATTGTCTTCAGAGATGTCGTGAATGAACTTGTGTCGTTAACATCACCAAATATCAAACAGAAGCTTGTTTCAATTAAAACCCAAATAGCATCTCATATTTTAAAGGCCGGCTTCAAATTTGTTAAACTTAAATATTTAATGTTTTAAATTTTAAAAGATGTTTACTTGTGTATTGTGTTTGGGTACATAAAACCACAGCACTGCTATTTAAACTGTCAAACTACACATTCTACTTTACTTTGATAAACAGCAAAGTTTTTCGTATTTAAATTCAATATTTGTCTATTTTTTGATAAACACGAAAGTGTAATTTTATCTCCTTAAAGCTATTGAAAGAGCTGTCGAAACCCTTGTTAAATGGAGAAAATTAAAGTTTCAAACCAGATGAATTATTATCTTTATGAGCTGTCATTGGTTTGTTATCTGTACTTCGAACACGTCATGGAGAGGTAAAATCTCGTTGATTTCTTGTGGTCAAATATCTTGTATTTACTTTCACTATTTAAACGGTATCAAATGTTTTTTTCTTTCTTTTATTCTTGATTCTTTCCAACGTTTAGCATTTTTTCCTATACAAGTACAGTATTTTTGGCAAAAAGTTTTCTTTTTCGCACGGCAGGATGTTTTCTACTTTCATTGAGTACCGAGATCCCCTTTCGTCTCCTTGGTGACAAATTTAATTCAATGATACAAAGATAATGACGGATCAGGATTGAGGTCTCGCACGCAATGTCAGCAAATCTAGATCAAATTGTCAGAACTAACGCTAGGGTCTCTTCGACTGAATAAGTTACAATAGAAAGAGCAACGGTCTTTTGTTATGTTGTATCAAATGTATCTAAATTTATTAAAGGTATTTGCTATATATTGTTGTTCGGTATTGGTGCATTGTTCAAAATGTTTGCGGGGTAATATTGGAATTTGTGTTGATAATTATTTTTGGTAACTGCAACAAAATTTAAAAATGAAAGTTCCCTCTACATTTTTCCCCTTTTTTAAAAAATATTTGGTGCTTATCTCAAAGTTTCCAAAACATGATTTACTCGACAGCCATGCTCATAGGTGGAGTGTAAATTGTAAGTCAATAGTTTCACCTGCCTTTGCAAAAGCATGCTTGATTAAACAATCATACATGTATTTCTCGAGTATATTAACCATTGATTCCAATATGAGTGGTACTCTATTTGGATAATATTATTTTTGGACATCAGAACATCATAGTTAAGTGGTTGTTAACAATGAAACCGATTAGATATTTGCCTTGATCACTTATAACTTATGACAATATTGACCAAGGATTTGCGGTTCCTAACTGCCTTTGCTAGTGAACATATAAAAAGTTGTGATGTTATATTTTCTCTGGGTTGACATAAACTTTAGTCCTAATTTCAATTAAGACGTCTGAACCTGTGGATACAACAATTCCTTGACATTATTTGGAATCGTGTCGTATAATTGCAAACACGATTCCAAATAATGCCAAGGAATTGTTTGAGGATTTTTGACCAACTTCCTGGGCCATGCTTGATTTAACTCCCTTTTTGCAATCACCTACCACATAGGTGAAAAATCTACATAGAACAAAGTTTTTTTTAAATCTTATATCTTTTTTGGAGAGCTGAATATTTGGGATATCGACTGATATTGGTATTTGTCGATTTTTTTTAAACTAAACTATGTCCTGCCATATTTTCAGCGCTTATCACGTAATCCCTGGTAAATTGTTCCCAGGATTAGAACAGGAAGATCCTGGGATTGAATGAAATGACATTGATTTAAAGACCAGGAGCGGGGATTGTGCACCGACGACTCAGGTCAGGATGCCGTCAAGTTATTGTGTCGCATCATTGTCCTAAAATCACACATGCTTGAAATCATTTGAAACATAAGAGTATTACAAAGAATTCTCATAAAATCAGATTTCCATTTGCTAATCAGCACACTTCTAGATTACTGTTATTCTTACACACCAAATGTGCTTAGTGGTTCTCATGGCCAGCCTTTATCTACCCTTTCTTTTACAGTTCCCCTAATACCTGTACAAACTAACATTATCTACCCGAATATATCACTTGATAATTGATCCAACTTTTTTTCTGTGCATTTATCAACGTCAAGTTTCCAAGTCTTGTTGTTTATAGTGTTGTGAATGACGGCATCTGAATCCAAACGACAATCAGTTCAGCGTCGGATGTGTGAAACGTTTGATAAAAGATCAGAAATAATCATGAAATGTTACATAGGGGGATTTAAAGCTCTGGCCTGACCGTTGGTATCAGTACCCCGCTACAGCTGATTATCTACTACCTGTTTGTTCCTGAACCCATTAGCAACACATACATTACACCCTGTATTGTGTATTGTCAAAGTTGCCTTCTGAATAATTATATTGTTCATTAAAAGGCAACAACTAAATGCTAACACACCAACAACACCTGTATACAAGCAATTGTTACAACTATAAAGATTTTCTTCATAGCAATTAAAAGAACATGGGTATAGACACTACAGAGTCGGTTAATCTGAGTTGTTTGTCATATTTATTATTCGATTTGTTAATTCAAAAATAAAATTTGAAAACTATATGTTGTTCGGGAAGTATTTTTGAAGAACCATTCAATGTTCTGTGCAATTATTGGTCACACATTACCATTTATGATTTCTTCAAAAATATATATCTTAAAATTTTGAGAAAGATACAATATCTGAGTAAGTATCAAATTTTAGGGAGATAAATACCGCTTCCTCATTTAATTGGCAAACAAGGATGTTGAATATCGAAAAATATCTCATGTTAATTTTATTTTTCATTTAATGCAAAATCAAAACTAACGAAAGGTCAATTACAAAAACTAAGAAAAGGAATATTTTTTTTAATAAAGTATATTTTCTTTTTTTTTAACGATTCTGTATTTTAAAAAGAATTTATATAAGTAACCCACCTTAGCACCAATCTGGTTCCCACACTGACCAGCTTGCATATGAACAATTTCCCTCATTTTGTTGATTTGTGTTTTGCAAATTCACGAATCAGGCCCTAGCCCTCCTTTTATTTAATGAATTAAGATAACTACACGTGAAATAAATTGTCCGGATACTTATACCCGTGCCTCTTTACTCATTTCTTACACCCTTTAAAAATAGTCCCAACATGTCTTTCTTCATTATCTTGTTTTATGGATTTAAACTTCAATGAGAAATTTAAATCTCCAATTGATATGAAAATTCGTTTTGAACTTTGATTTGAATTTGTTTGAATTCCTCGAAAAAGGATATAATCGAAAAACTTTGAACTAAAATGCGTATGAATTTTCATGAAAGATGAACAGAAGACAAGACTACGCAAGAACAAGGACCAGTGATCAACCCTAGATACAGAGGAGTAAACATAAATATAGAAATGTAACACATTTATTTGTAAATATTTGGTAGCTAAGTTTTTGTCATAATTACAATGTACTTTATTAATTTTCAACAATCTCGTCACATCTTTATTAAGTGTTATGATAACTAAGTTTTGACTTGGAGATTATTATTAAATGGCATCAAAAATTAAATGGCATCCCTATAGAGTTTAAGGCGTCTCGAATTTAGCCTTGTTCCCTATAACCCTCTTTCATGTGTGACCATTTCTTGTCAACGGGTTTGGCAGCATGTAAGGTGATGAAATTATCTTTGTTCTTGTCATTTATCTGAGTATGATATTCTCCAAAACAGTCAACCTTTACAGGAAATTATGAATTCGTTCCAATGTCTTTTCAATAGACTTTGCTGGATGCATTTTACGTAATAAAGATGAATTTCATTTTGATTACGTTTGCAAAAATGTTTAATGTTTAAGAGAGCATTATGAAAGAAAGATATTTGATCTTAATAACTTATAAGATGAATAATTGTTGTTGATAGATAATTGATAACTGATTCAATAAACATGTATAGCAGATCTTTAGATATAATTTTCCTTTATGTGCGGAAAGTAACAATTTCCCCTTACGATTAAACGTTTGTTTGTTCTAATTATCTTATCTTTATATTAAGAGAACGACCTTAATGTTTGTAATGGAGGGTTAGTCTGAGAATACCCAACGATTTCTATTTCCAATATACATAAATTTTTCAAACGAAAATCCTTTCAATTTTGTGATTGCTTAAGACAATTTTTATGACAACATTAAACAGGATATCCAGATATGGCACGACTCGACACTTTCTACAGCTTTACAATTCTGAATGCTTAAATGCATGATTGAGACTTCTTGAATACTTTTTCAACAAATTAACAATGCAAATCACAGTTTCGTGCATAAAACGAGATGACACTAGGCAGTTTCTTTCATTTTTATTACCACAGAATGCAAACTTGTTTTCTTTTCATTAAAAGTGGGTATATTAGAGGGCAACGTTTTTATAGAGAACCTTTGGTTAGAAATCAGAAAGATGGACAGGTCAAGCCTGGCTTCTCTGCTGATCAATTTCTTCCACTGAAAAAAAGGTCTGACTGCTTTTTAGGGTAAGTATGATCGGGTGTCTATGAGTACAAGAGAAAACTAAAGTTTGTCTTCAATAAGCATATGGATAAGTAAAGAAAGTTTTCTGTTCGACTTGTGTCGAAATTTGAAAGCAGGAGACTAGTATAGGAAAGGCACTCACCAGGAAGGGTTGTGGGTATACTTGTCAAGTTTTCATTCATTGTTCTTCTTGTACAGTGTGTGAATATTCTACGATGAGACAAGCTTCTGTAAACACATATATGTACTTTTATTTGCTATGAACGCTAAAAAAAATAATACAAATGCAATAATGGCAGCAAGAGAAGGCTACGTTTTATTAGTTCTCGTTTAAAGACGAGATTTCATTATTGTGTTATAGGAGGATTCAATTGTTTTTGGACAGACATATTTAGTTTAATTAATCTAGACGTTCTTTTTTTAATTTAGCGAAGTCGATCGTAACAAGTAGGCTGCTCTCCGTTATGGTGTACTAGTATTTTATACCACTTTATTAAGGAAATCCATTTCGCGTAATTTTTTCTTCCTTCTGTTGACATTATTGTGTACTTGCAAAATGAGGGTAAATGTTTGACTTATCTTTAACGATGTCCTCTAATCCCATTTCTTTAGTTAACATTATTGTATAATTGCAAAAAGGAATAAATATTTGATTTATTTTTAACACTTAATGTCTTCTGAATATACATCAAAGCATTTTCCTTCGGTCCATTTAATTATCGTCAAAAATCATCAAAAGCATGTAAATATCCCGCAAGATTAATAAAATAAGAATTTGTGATTGCAAACTGAGAGTATATTTTTCGAAAGAAAAAAATGTATTAAGATTTGGTAATTCGCTTAGCATCATGTAAAAAAAAAAAAAGAATATTCTAATACATAAATTCACTACATGCATCAAATATGCCACACTTGAACCCATAAACTCGCAAAATTCATAAAGTTGAAAAAGATACATAATATTTAACGGAGACTTATTTTCAGTTTTTTTGAGTTTTGAAAATTGTTTTGCACACGTGCACACTTGTTCATCACTGTTTAAACTTGACATACATAAATTTGTGTGTTGTGAACTACTTCTTTTTGATTCCGACACTCTGTAGATACAGTGTACTTGTGCCTGTCAGTTGTAAATGTAAAAATGATTTCTACCCGTGATTCTCTAAAGTAAAGAAACAAAAGACAATAACGGTGTCGAGCCGTTATCTGTTCCCACATTGAGACATTGTATCCAACGCCAGCACTTGAACGGTTTCAAATAACGAATTATCGCGAAATCCCATCATTTGCGAGATCTTGAAAATGGAGATAGCAGGAGAACAATCAACATGGCTATCTCTGTTGTTTACACCCTTTGTTTTAAGAGAATGTGACTGGGACATAGTGCTTTTATAAATGTTGCAAAACCTATTGGGACAAGTTCCAGCCAAACTTAGACTAAGCGCGAGCTGTCAGAATTTGGACTACAATCAAGAAATCATTAATGATAGTCTCTTATATTTATGTAAAGGTTATGAATTTCGGAATATATAGGTTATATTTAGATTTATATCAAATAATCATGAAGGAATTGTATGTGCGTAGTATTCAAATGAGTAATTTCACACAATGTAACATTTTCAATTGATGTTTCCTGCACTAAGACTTGGAAAGAGTAAACTAATGTTACATTACTGTAGTGCTTCATTATGGAATTGTTTGTAGAAACTTAACAAACTGTGTATTATGACACTCTTTGGTAACAGGACAATACAGGTTTAATTATTTTTAATAACAAAAAAATACTGATTCATCGATAAGCAATTTTTAACCACAACTCCTTCCCCATGTAATAAGTCAAACATCATGTATTTATTTATTTATTTATTTATTTATTTTTATAATTTGTACACGTGTTCAAAAAAGTTCCGAATACAAGGAAAATAAAATGTTCCTACTTACAAAGAAACAAGACTTTTATATCAATATTCGAAATACGAATCAGTAACATAGAAAGTAATAACATACATATTATAAGAAAAATTAAATATGTTCAAAACAAACAATAAGAAAACTTAAGTCAATTTTAATGCAAAACCCGTCTTCCCTTTATTTAGTGATGTTTTTCAGCTTTTGATGTTCTTAGCAGGGATTAGACTGTTTAATGTACCCTGAACAAGGAATAAGTAAACGCCATCTTGTCGCTTGGGTAAACACTCATATTTCACTGCATCGAGTAATCCTCCCAAAAAGATTATCAACTGTCATCCAAAGATTGAACTCTTCTTAAAATTTCACCCATGAAAAGTGAGGGATATCAAAAAGATAAATGGGATTAGAGGATTAAGAGATTTAAAGCCATGGAATAATTCCTCCCAGATCATTGCGCTAGCTAAAAAGTACCTAGGATGTTTGAAATTGTTGTCCAAGTAACAAATATAGTTATCAATATTTAGGCGAGAACTTAAGTGAAATATGAAATGTTCATATCTTTTCTTTTGACGAAATATTCATACGGACGGGGGTTATTAAATATGTGGCGCTATGCCCTTTACTTTGAAAAAAAGTGAATTTTCATTACATCTGTATAATGAAACAGAAAATTATTGAATAGGTGTATTTTAGAAAATATTAAAGTAGCGATTTCTTTTTAAAACCAAGCAATGTCTGATCTCGCCCTGACCACGGTAATCTTTTTATATTGTTTCATATAAAACCATAAGACAATCAAGCGACAGAAGAACGTTTCTCTTAACACATCTCAGGCCCGAATTGTTCTTTGGTATTGATTAAACCAGGTAAGAGGTTTGCACAGGCTTAAGTGAGCAGTTCAGAGATTTGAAATATGAAGTTCACTGCAAACAGCATTGACAGGGCGATTTCGATACCGTGTTTCTCAGTGTCCTCGCTGTCAAATCTACTAATTCATCAATACAGTCTGGTTTGACAGACAAAAAAAAGAGAGAGATTCACATTTTATAGTCGTTGAATCATGCATCAGGTTTCCATGGTTACGTGGAATAAATAACATTTTTTTTAATGTTATGTTATTATTATGCTAGTTACCGTAAACAAATTGAAATTCGTGTAGACTTAGACCATCATGTGCGTTATCTAACAGAGTGAAATTATAGCAGTTTAATTGATAGTCCAGGAAACCTTTGAAGTTCTTAAGCATTGAAAGTGGGATCATCTTTGTCACAGTTTGGCAATGAGAGTCTTATAATGGCCGATTGACCATGGTCTTATCACTGTAACAATGTTTACATACCGTCCACAGTGTGGACAATAGGATTTTAGCTACTGACAGTGACATATATGCAGGCCCTTTCCTCAATTCTTGAGTCCATCTTACCCTATTGTCACCGTTTAAGCAATAATATTTGTCATCTAATCTAGAATCTAAGAATATGTGATGAATTTGAAATTTACTGAAACACTTAAACATCTGTATATCAAAGAATGAGCAAGGTATGCCAAGCATTTTTTCCCTTTCTACTGGTCCATTATTCTCTCAGCTGGTTTTAATTAATTAAATGAACATCTTTTGAAGCGGTGCAATCTGCATTCTCGACTTGATAGGATCAT